GGAGCCCGATGCGGGACTCGATCCCGGGACTCCAGGATCATGACCTGAGCCGAAGGCAGTCGCTTAACCAACTGAGCCACCCAGGCGCCCAGATCCTTATGTATTCTTATTACACTGCGGATGAATCCTTTGTTAGATACATATATTGAGAAATATCTACTCCTGCCAGAGAGTTACATTTAGAAATAGATTTACTTTTAAAAATAATACATGACACCTTCCCCCCCAAAAAAGAGAAAAGAAAACAAAAGACAAAATAATATATGTTCAAACGTTGGTATCTCCCTCCATCCTGAGGTAGACTTAACACATAAGGATATACTTAACAATGCCAATGATGCATTTTTTCCCACTGAACAATGTGCCCAATGAATATTATCCCCCATTTTACAGAGGAAGGAACACAGGAAGGCATGGGGAGGTGAAGTGGCTTGCCTGATGTTTGAACACAGGAATCTGTGACTTTCAGCCACTCCAAGGAGTGTCACATTCCCATTTATAAACTTTGGCTCAGAGGGCTGTCAACTTCTAAGGAATCAGAGTCTGACATACATTTCTTCAGAGATGTCCTGTCCAGGCTCCAGTCAGAGCTGGCCCTCCTGGAGGCAGGGGGCGGGTTGGGGTCGTCATTTCTGGATCTTGATCTCTGCATACTCAGGGGTCTCCCGGTCCTGAAAGTTGTGTGGCTTCAGCCCGTGGAAGCTGAGGCTGGCGTAGTAGAGCTCCTGCTCCTTCTCAGAGGGAGAGGTGGCCCCAGCTGGGGGCAAAGGGTCTGAGAGGCTGTCTGACCAGGGTTTGCTCAGGTGATCCTGAGTGGAATGAAGGGAAGGCACTGGAGCTGGCCTTTGAGTCTGGAGAAGGGAAGTGGGGGCTGGGGGGCACTTACCCATTTATCCACTTCATGCCCATTTCCTGAGCATCCATCCATCCATCCATCCATTCATTCACTCATTCATTCATTTGTATCTTTAACACATTTTCATCATATGGCATTGAATCCTTACAACTCCCCCCACTCCCCTGTGGATAATATAACTGTTATCCCCATTTTACAGATATGAAAACAGAGTAAGCAAGGTCAAGAAACTCTTCAGCACACACGACCTCTGACCTCAGACAACCTATCAGGGCAAGGAGACAGTATCAAATTGTCACACATACACGCAAATGATCTAATTGCAATTTGTGATCTGATGCACAGAAGCAGCACTCACCCAGGGGCTCCCAGGGTGCTGGGGACAGGCCTGTGATTATTACAGGGAGGTGTGATGACAGTCTGCCTGCATAGGGCAGGGGAATATTTAAACTGGAGCGTGAAAAGTGATTAGGGGTCTGGCCAATGCAAATGCGGAGGGTCAGAGGAAATCATGCATGCAAAGGCACAGAGTCACAGAGAACGAGCCCTGCCTGGGAATAAGGAGCTGATTTTGTGGGCAGGGGCAGGGAGTGGGCTGAGGACTTGGCAAGGGACAGGTCACAGAACACTGGACCAAGGAAACCAGACTACGTGTCTAATACAGTAGCTCCTAGCCACATGTGGCTACTGAGTACGTGAAACATGGCAATTCTGAGCAGAGGTGCGCCATGAGTATGAAATAAACCCTGGATTTCAAAGACTTAGTGTGAAAAGAAGAAGAAAACGAAGGAAGAATGCAGACTATCTCATTAATAATCTGTACATTGATTCTTGATGATATGATGGTGAAATAATATTTTGAATATATTGGGTTAAATAATATATTACATTAAAATTGATCTCATGCTTCTTTCTACTTTCTACAGGGGTTACAGGTGTTTGGGGAATTTCTTGCCCAAATCTTGGGAGGAGAGGTGGAGAGGTGGAGTCGTGGAGGTGAGGCCAGTGGCCCAGGAGGGAGACAGTGAGGGCTCAGCAGAGAAGGGGCTAAATGGGAAAAAAAGCTTTGCTAAAAAGGGAAATGGGTGGGACTTGGCCCATCACTGGCTCTGGTGGTTGGAGGAGAGGGGAGAGGAAAAGGTGGCTCTGGGGTCTCTGAGTTGAGGGCAGCCAGAAATCCTGGGGAGGACCAAATTTTGGGGGTCGGTGAGGGACTCATCTTTTGGCATGCTGAGTGAGCTGCCCCACGGTCCATCCCAGGAGAGGTGTCCAGGTGGGACGCTAGATAGAAAGAGAGGCCCTGGCCACTCACCTGGGAGACGGTATTCAAGGCTGGATCGATGCCATCCCTGCACGCTGCTTTCTGGTTGGATTTCTGCCTGTAGGTCTTCACTCTGAGGGGAGAGATCAGGGCCTTTCAGCCTGGCTGCTCGCTGCTGGGAGCCTGGAAGGATGACTGACTGAGGCAGGGCATGAAGAATGATGTTTGGCTGCAGACACCAGGAGGCGAACGCAGGCTCCCTCCTCCCTGACAGAGGGAACCCCTGTGGGGAAGAGACCACTCCCGGCCTCCATGTCAGGAGGCTAGATTCCTGATGCCTCTTGGACGAATTGTACTCTTCTCTGGCTGCATCACCTCGCCAGGTTTCTTCAGCTCTGGGCTTTGAGTTTGGGAGATTCTTTGAGTCCCCTCCCTGCCCAACCTCATGAGGCCTTCACCCAAACCAGGGCCACCACTCACGCGAAGAAGATGATAAGGCAGATACAGAGAGCAAGCAGGGCTGTGACTCCAGCTCCCCAGATGGCCCCCTGAATCACATCTGTCCTGGGCCCTGGTCTCCCTGCAGGTAAGAGACCTGGGGTAAACTCCAGTCCCACCAAGCTGGCACCTGAGCATCCAGCCTTCTGGAATCCATGACCCAGGGGTGTGCCCTCTTCTACCCAGGACTGGCTCCTTTGTCCCCCACCCCTCTCCGTGATCCCAGCCTCCTGTTTCCCTGGCCCCTTCCTCAACCCCTCCCCCGCCAACCTACAGATGACTCTGACCTCTAGTGCCCCTTTGTCTGAGTCAGAGCCACTTCTCTCCTCAACGTCTTCTAGGGTCCTGGTTCATGCGCCCCCTCCCCTGGGCATCACCCTTCATACCTCCCTGACCTGGCAGCACCAGGATAGCCATGCTCTGTTTCCCGTGGGCATTCCGGGCCTCGCAGCTGAGTCTGAGGCCAGAGCCCAGCGGCCCGCTGAGGCTCAGGGAGCTGTTGGCCCAGGGCCCCGCAGAGCTGGAGGTGATGGTCCAGGAGGCGTTGCTGTGGTTCCCCTTCAGCAGCCCCTCCCCCAGCCGCCAGCGCAGGGTGGGGGCCGGGTGGGCCCGGGAGGAACAGCTGCAGTGCAGCCCCTCGCCCTCCCAGGAGCAGGAGGGAGCAAACAGCTTCGGGGGGTCTGTGGGAAGACAACAGAGTATCAGAGGAAAACCCCTCCCCAGGGCCCAAGCATCCTTCCCAGGTGTGTTCCAACTCACTCTTCACAAGGAGGTTCAGGGATGCTTCCAGGGACCCCAACAGGTGCTGAGCTCTGCAGACGTATCTCCCATGGTCCCCCAGTTCCACCCGGGGCAACTCCAGGACCCCAGGATTTGAGGGTTGTGAGGGCTGCAGGGTCAGGCTACCCCGGGTCCAGCTCACCCTAGCAGAAGGGTGGCTGTCGTCGATGCAGACCAGGTGCAGGGGCTGGCCCTCCTGGACTGAGAGAGACGAACCGTTGCCTAGAGCCTCAGGTCCTGGAAAGACAGAAAGAAAGCTAAGCCCTGGCCCTCACTAGGGGTGTTCTCTCTCTGTCTCTCTGTCTCTTTCTCTGTCTCTCTTTTCCTCACATCATGTAAATCTGTTTCTTCTCTTCCACTGCATGATCATTCGGTCAGCCGAAGGGGACAGGGCTGAGAGCAGGCACCACAGCCTTTGCAAGAGGCCTGGGTGCGTTCTGTCTTTCACTAAGTTCACTAAGACCTGTCTAACTTAGTTGTGTCTGAGAGTCCACAGTCTTGTGAGCGAGACACCCAGAATCAGGTGTCATCAAGCAGCATGATGTGTTTTGTGATGGGGGTACAGTGTGCTCGGGGAACCCTGAGGATGGGAGTTCAGTGAGATTGTCAGGTCAAGGAGGGCTTCCTGGAGGAGGAGAGGCTTTTTTTTTTTTTGGGGTTTCCTTTTTTTTAAGTTCAATTAATTAACAATATAGTGTATTATTAGTTTTAGAGGTAGAGTTCAGTGATTCATCAGTTGCATACAACACCCAGTGCTCATTCCATCA